AAAAACAATATTAATTATGATCAACTTGGTCATGAACTTACGAACATTCACAATAATTCAGTAACTGACCAAGACAAGGAACAATTTGCCAATCGTCTCATACCTCACTGTACATATGAAAAACGATTGGATTCATATCAGACATGTATCAATACTCCGGTTGCAAATGTCAGAGTGATCGTCGGGCATCAAAACAGCCAAGATTCAAAAATTAAACTGTTCGAAAACGTCCTCATTCATCGTTGCTGGTTCACAAAGATCAAGTATGTACTCTATTTTTCTCTATTACTCCAAATTCTGAGTAATCCAAATACAGCTTGATTACGTTATTTTTAACCGTTTTCTTCGGTTTACTGTATTCCAGTAAAACGGCCGAGATTTTTTATTTTTAGTATTTTTTTCTCGAGTAAATTTGAATTAGCCAAATTAGTCGGCTAAATATTCGAATTTTTTTCATTAATATATGGTTGGATAGAACCTTCATTTCTCTATTGATTTATGCAATTTTCGTCTGATTTAGCTGAGATCCTATAGGTAGATTTTAGATTATGCAAATAGCAGTGGAAGTCTGTTTTTTTTTCATTAGTGGAAAATTGCCTAAAGTGTCCGCAATAAAATTAAATTTTCTTCTGAAATTCAAAACTATTTCATTTAATACTTTTTGCAACTTCAACTTCGATGAATCTCTTCACCCTAAAACTGTTTTCGCGACAATTGGATTTAGTCTTATTAAGATATGAGTATGCAAAAGCTTCTTTACCGGTTGTCGAAATTAATAAATTTCTTGGAAACAAGATACGAAATAGAACAAGTTAAAACTATTGAGTTTTATAGAGTAATCAATGCTGTATCCAAGCATATAAAAATAAAAAATCTCGGCCGTTTTACTGGAATACAGTAAACCGAAGAAAACGGTCAAAAATAACGTAATCAAGCTGTATGGTTATCGCATTCTACGAGAAAGTAATCTAGTGGTCCATCTACATGGCAACAGCAACGATGTATTCATCCATTCAAGTTGGAATATGTACTAATTTCAGTTTCACTTCCTCTGTCTTCACTGAAGCACTAACAATACTTTCCACTCGCATCGATTCGTTTCCTTCTTTTTTTATGTATTTCTTTTCGTTTGCATTATGTATTCTCAAAGATATCTTTTCATACTAGATGACCTGAGTATCAAACCATCTGATGATCCTCGTAGCTGAAGTGAAATCGCTATAATGATATCTCTTGCTCATTCTAATAATAGAAGACTAAAAAAGGGTTAGAATATGATATCACAGTTCGATTAGTCATATTAAATCATTAACAACTATTCGTTATATTGGTAAAGATATTGATAATTTTAAGTCAGTTATTGGCATGAGTTCAAAAAAATCATCATGTCATTAGAATCTCTGTCAGTTAATACCAGATCTACTTTTTCATCTTTGTTGAAATCAGCCACTGCCATAGAGTTCGGCCAAATATGTGTCGCATACGTTTTTGTGAACAGAATAGATAAACTTCCGTTGCGAAATAGTATATAAAAGTCATCGGAGTTTTGATTGGTCACTATTAGATCCATTTTTGCATCGAGATTAAAATCATCTGATAATACAACACCCGGCTGTCTACCAACCAGAGCCCTGCAGGTTGCCAGTATTTGGCAACCTATAACCTAACCTATAAAAATTTTCACAACCTAATCCTAACCTAACCGTTGAAAAAAAAATAGAACAACCTATGACCTAGTCTAGCCTATAACTTTTGCAACCTAATCCTAACCTAACCTATAGGTTAGGTTAGGATCAACCTGCAGGGCTCTGCTACCAACTATATAATTTATTCGTGCCTGGAAGGTTCCATTCTCATTACCGCACAAAACACTGACGGTATTTTCGCCCTGATTAACTAAGGTCTGTTATGGTATCATTATTTAAATCAACTGTTACCACAGAAACTGGGTTGGCTCCAGTCTTATACATAATTTGAGCTTGAAAGGTTCTGTCTCCTTTGCCAAACAACACGCTAACGTTTTCCCCGTACAAGTTGACCACTGCTAAATCCAGTATTTTATCATCATTGAAATATCCTGAAGCTAAAGCAACTGGTCTATTGCCGATGAGAAACGACGTTTGATTCTTGAAACTTCCATCTCCATTACCAAGAAGTATGCTGACGCTGTTATTTTCCAGATTAGCTAGAACTAAATCTAGTTTCGTGTCATTGTTGAAGCCGGCCCATCCTAAAAAGCCTGCTTTCATTTGAACAGGAAAATCCATTTGGTTCTGAAAAACTCCAGTTGCTTCACCGAGCAATATACTGATACTGTTGTCGGAGTTATACACTGCCAAATCCAATAAGTTGTCATTGTTGAAATCAGCTGCTGTCATAAAAGTTGCATTTTTTTTAGTCGCACATGGCACTCGATCTTGAAAGATTCCATCTCCATTGCCGAACAGAATGATATTGTTCGTATCATTCTGACAGATTATTACCAGATCCAAGTTAGGATCACTGTCAACGTTATATGATATCAGGGACCTTGGTCCTACGCCCGTTACATATTTAATTTGCGATTTAAACGTACTATTTCCAAGGTTAATTAACACGCTAACAGTCACCTCATCGTAGTTAATTACTGCCACATCCATGTAGTTGTCATGATTAAAATCAGCAGATACCACGCCGCTGAGAGTATCTCCAACAGGATATTTCATTTGAAGCCGGAAAGTACCATTCCCATTTCCCAGCAATATGCTGATGATTTTATTATTCCAGTTAGGTATTATTAGATCTAGCTCACCATCATTATTAATGTCAGTCGATCTTATAGAGCTTGGCCCATTACCAATGTACATTTAAATAGAAGGAAAAACTTAATGGTAAAAAGAAAAAAGGAAAAAAACTAACGAGCGAAAAAAAGAAAATGAACAGGCAAAAAATTTATATTTTACAGCAGCTATAGCATTTGTTAATATAGATTAACTTATCAACGGTTATGAGTGACGATGGAGAGTGGAGGAAGAAAAACTTTTTAAACGATGCGCTGCTGGT